TTAGCTTTACATAATTGTTAGCAGTAGTGTGATAACTGATAAGTTACTTTTTGAGTGAAATGCAGCATAACATATATATTTCCAAGACATTCAGAATTGATTGATTTATTGTTAGGATAACATGGATTTTTACATGCATCTCTTTTGTTGACAACTGAAGCTAGACTGAATAATCAGACTCCTGGCTAATTTAGAATGTAGAACTTTATAGGCTATTGAACCAGTTGTTTTAATGCAACAATGTTCTATATGTTAACATTACTTAATGCAAGAGTTAAAACTACTTTTTTTAGCATTTCTTAATCTTGGTTAATGTTAATAATTTGAATTAATACATATAGTAATACATTTTAATATTTCAATTTGAAATGAATTATTATGAATGAAGATGAATGAACAATTAAGGATAGTAGGCCAACACTGAAAGAACTGGCATAGAAACAATTTCCCCTCAGAACTTGCTAGTAAATTTCACAGTTAGTTACAAAGAAACGGCAAGTAACACACTGAATTAAATGTGAAATTTAGAAGTAGAATGACTGAAATAACATCTTCTTGTAAAACACTCCAAAAATCATGGTTACACTTTATTTCGATAGTCCACTTTAGACATTCGGTTACACTTTACTTGAAGGGGTGTGCATAAGACTGACATGACACCTTCATAATCATGACATGACACATGTCATGAATATGAAGGGTTTTTATGCATGTTTATGACAACTGTCATTAAGTGTCATTCGCTCAGTTATGTAATTTTTAATGCAAAGATGACATTGTTTGAGATGTCTTTGTTATGGGCTATGGTTAGGGGTAAGGGTAGGGGTAGGGTTAGGTCAAATAATGTCATATTTGCATTAAAAATGACATAACTAAGCGAATGACACTTAATGACAGTTGTCATAAACATGCATAAAACCTCTTTCATATTCATGACATGTGTCATGTCATGATTATGAAGGTGTCATGTCAGTCTTATGCACACCCCTTCAAGTAAAGTGTTACCAGACATTCTACTAACTATAAGTAACTTTGTAACTACATGTCAACTACATGTCAACTAATTCTCATTAATTTGCAACTACATGTCTACTAACTCTCAGAGTAGAATGTTAGGGTAGGTTTAGGGTTAGTAGAATAAGTTGACAAAGAAAGTGTTAGAAGATATTAAGCAGACAGTCTGCTAATACTTTACTAACTGCTAGTTGACATGTAGTTGCAAAGTTACTTACTGTTAATAGAATGTCTAAAGTGGACTATCGAAATAAAGTGTTACCAAAATCATTGTTACAGTGTATAATTACAAGTTAACATTAACGTAAATTAATAAATGCCTTAAACCCAGCAAGCCTATTCACAATGAATTACGCTTCTAAACTGCAATATTTAACATCTACATAATAAGTGTGTTGGGAGAAACGAGTTAAGGAGGTTAAAACCGCATGATGTAATTTTGGTATAAAATTAAAAAAGTTATCTTTTGAAAACAGATGAGTGCTGATCAAACGAAAAAAATAAGTATATTTCATCTGAAGATTACAACACACATTTCATATTTTTTAATGGCCTGCACAGTTCTGGTCACTTCTTTCTAATATGAACACAGTGTCACACCAGAGATCTTTCTGATCTCTTCTGGTTTTGACAGCAAGTCTTGGTTTTAAAAACAAGATATGTGACCCTGGACCACAAAACCAGTCATAAGGGTCATTTTATCGTAATTGAGATTTACACATCATCCGAAATCTGATGTATGGTTTGTTATGATAGGACAATATTTGACCGAGATACTAAATATTGAGAAAAAATCTAAATATTGAGAAAATCGCCTTTAAAGTTGTCCAAATTAAGTTCTTAGCAATGCATATTACTAATCAAAAATTAAGTTTTAATATATTTACAGTAGGACATTTACAAAATATCTTCATGGAACATGATCTTTACTTAATATCCTAATGATTTTTGGCATAAAAAAAGCAATCATTTTGACCCATACAATTTATTTTTGGCTATTGCTACAAATATACCCAAGCGACTTAAGACTGGTTTTGTGCTCCAGGGTCACATATGTTTTCCAAACCTTCTGCATTTGTATGAGCAAGAGAGCAGGAAGAAATCAGCCTAAATGTATGAAAATTTAAAATTATTCTAATGAACAGGAAAAAAATTTAAAGCTGTATTACTCTTTTATTTTTTGATGCTTGAAACCCCCTTTTCATCTTTGATGTTGTATGATTGTTCTCATATGCAATCATACACGCTGCTTAATACAAAAACTTTCCTTTGTTCATTTAATTTGAGCTCAGAGTTAGGCTTGTGGTTAGAGACGGGACATCCTGTTTACTTCTCTAGATTGCACGTTGTCATGCGAATTCGCCATTGCATACAATTACTATGAATTCTCAAGAAATCGGGTTGAAAGGTTCACCTGTCTAGTTTGAAACCACACAAACCAGAGAAAGCTATTACTTCTTAAAACACACACACACACACATTATCAGCGATATAAAAAGCCACCTTCTTCATCTCTTGAGTCATTGTCATTTGGCTGTGAGCGATTTTATTGTGAGCGAAATTAACGAAAAGAAAACAGAATCTGACAAAAAGAGACAACAATATTCTCAGGTAAGTTAATATAATAAAGGTTAATAACTCATAATTTCTGCTAATTTGCAGAAAATACTAGTTGCACAAATTGTCTTGTGTAAGGAATTAATTAAGAAAATGATTGTGCAACATATTCCTACTGGAATAATAGATTTAGTATTTGTGTAATACTTTTGTGTCTCTGGTTATCTTTCAGCATTTGTTCTTCACTAGATCATCTGAGGGATTCGACTGAATCAAGATGCTGCTGATCATTGAAGCTCTTCTTCTCATTTTAGCTGCTCTAGGACAGGTAAGCTTGTGTTCTAGTATGAATATTACAGACATGAATGCTGATGATTGATCATTATGATTCCTGTTGCTGCAGGATCACAGAGCTGCTGGTGCAGGACTGAAATTGGATATGGCACTGAATTCTGTTGATGACCAATATAAGGGCTGTACATCGAAAATGGCACATCTGGTGAAGACAAAATATCTAATGAAAGAAATCAATAACTCACCGCAATTTAAAATTGGTTGGCAAGTGGGTGCAATGTTTGTTAAGTTCCCAAAAGGTTACTTGAAAAGGAATCATTTAATCGCCATTTATGTGTACAGTGATAATAACGTATATCAGCATTTCAATCCTGACAATCGTTATGGTAAAAAACAGTACAATCACAAGACCTACAAATGGTATTCCCTTTACTTTTTGTTAACAGAAGCGATACAGATTCTGAAGAAAACACAGTATGGATGCAGGTTTACTTATCGTGGTACAAATGTTGAATTTAATAAGGATGTTCTGAACAAACATGTTCGTTTTGGCTCATTTGCTTCATCCTCCCTTGATTATACCATTGCACGAGGTTTTGGATCTAAATCTTGTTTTGAAATCTACACTTGTGAAGGAGCTGATGTGGCAAAATATTCTAAGTATCCTCATGAGAAAGAGGTGCTGATTCCTCCATATGAGAAGTTTAAAGTCACTGCTGTCAAGTCGAGAAAATATCAGCCTCATCTCTGGTGTGAAACTGTGTTCACTTTGAAAAGCACTGGAACAAGAAGTGACCTGAACTGTGCTCTATTCAAGAAACCACCCAATCATAATGGTTTTTACTGAAAAAGTGCTTTGAATTATTTTTGATATTTTGTTATTTCCTCTTCAATAATTCTTTGTCAGAAAACAGATTTTGTTTTCATAATGAAATAAAGTATATAGACAATGCAAACAGCTGTCACTCATTTTCTTTTGCTCATTCATCTGTCATTTGTTCAATGAGTTCGTACATTTCTTTTTCATGAGAAACGATAGAAATTACTATAACTTGGTGAGCAGTCAATTTATAGGCAAATAGACCATAGTAGAAACTACCAGGCATTGTGTCAATACACGGCAAATGTGATGCTCAAGCGAAAGGATGTTCTGTCATGACAACTCTCGGAGGGATTGGCATGGTAATGTACATGACAATGTTAATGTATTTGGGCTTGCTTCGCTGCTGCAGCAGAGCAAGTACCGAGACTTGCTACTGCCAATACATCCACAACATGCTGCTGTGAGCATGCAAGAAATATTGCTGCTGCAAATATAACATACATGAAATAACCCCTATATAGCATACATTATCACCTCGTAGCAGATCTATACAGGTGGAGCTGGGGAAGGTGGAGGGTTTCTGAAGCAAGCTGCACTGCTATGGCAAGCACTAGTCATATATTTGAATGTTGAGCAGCGAGCTCATTGGCTACCGATACAGGAGAGCACCAATCAGCTGTGCCATGTGATAATGATGTCATTAGGTCAGATTGAGTTAGACCTATCGGACTGCGCCATCTAGAGTTTCATGCCAGAACTCTGTATATTTGCTACGACTCCTTCCACAACATGTAGCAGAAGCCTGACCATATTTTCTTCATTTACAAATATGTTACACGCGCAGAGGAATGATGGAAGTATGCAGTGTCGCGAAATCCGTCCCGACAGCTCTAAAACACAAATATTTCTTATTGGCTTACCGTAGTGATTTGGGCAAAAACACGGTTTGGAATTTTTTATTTTTCATATACCCACTTATTATTTAAAATTTTGTTGATTGGATAAAAAAACCTATACATTTTTGTAAATAAAAATACACAGTGACCATTTATGGTCAGACTTATTTATACTTATTTTAATGCTTTTTTCATATATTCCTTTTACCATTAATGATAAAATATTTGTTTCTAAAACAGACCTTTAATTCTTAAAACATTATAAATAGACCATCTAAAAAAAAATAATAATAATCCAACGAACTATTGCCATTTTCAGGTTTTAATTTCCCTAACCAATGAGTATTTTACTACACATTTCTATTGATACTGTGGTTTGATACTGTGCTAAAATCAACAGCAATTAAAAAAATGCTAAAATAACAGGACAAACCATGTCTACTCATATTTATTTTCTTTTCCTATAAAAAGGCAAAATTACTGTATACAATTAAACAAAACAGAAAGCAGGGGAAACCTTTTTACTTAGTATAAGTTTCCTGGTATGAGTTTCTATGGGAAGCTAAAACAGTTTGTGTGCAATAAAATACAGTGAAGTCCAGATTTCAGCCATTTCTCAGACGTTCTCCACCTTAATGATGTTCAGCTCGGGCTCGTGGGGTGAAACCGGAAGACTAGAGGACTGGTTAGGAGGGCTGCAAGCCTGGAATGACCCACCTGCACTGGTGGAGGGCATGTCTACTGATTTATTATCCATCCCCGTAAAGGAGTCTGTGTGCGGCTGAGTGTACTGGAGTGCGCTGGGCGCGAATGTTTGCGTGAAAGTGGGCGTGCGCGCTTGTGCGTGGGTGAACGGGGGCCCGCCGGAGGTCGGGCACTGCTGAAACCCATTCATGGTAGGTGGGCTGAGCTGGTCCAGAGAAAACACCTCAATGCTCTCCAGACCGGAATCATGGATCTCGTTGTATCGCGTCTGGGCTTGGCTGCACTGAGCGTAAGCACCCTGACCGGTCGAAGCCTGGCCGAAGGGCGCAGAGGAGGCCAGGGAACAAGACGCTGGTAACGTTGGTGCAGATGTAGACTGCAGAGGCTTAAATTTAGATGAGAGATTCTGCAGGGTGCCGAGGATCTGCTTCTGGACTTGGGTCTGCTGGGCTTGTTCTCTCTCCAGTCGGCCTTGATGGTCCACCATCATCCTCAACGCCAGTCCCAAACTTCTCAGCTCGGAGCCCAACAGCTGGATCTGCTCCTGCAGGCCGCTCAAGGCTCCAGGGTCCAGGGCACTCCGCTGGGGAGGAGGTGAAGGCTGGTTGCTCACGTTTTGGACCCGTGCAGGGGGGGCTGAATTTTGGGATGTCGTCCCAGTGGTGGATGGGTTGGGGAGGCGGATGCCGACACGTGGAGGGTGTTGAGGAGCACGAACGGGAACGCCGACCCGCTGGTGCATCAACCTCCTATGAGGACTGGCTCCTTGGTGCAATGATCTCTGGGAAATAAAAATGTAATTAAGCCCTCAATCTACATTGGTGAGAATAATAATATGAATAATATATTATACTATATTAATTTTTACATTATTATTATTAACATTACATATTTTATTATATTTTATTAAATTAATTAAAAATCATTCTGCATATTGGTTGTGGGACACTTAAAGTCACCATGAAATCAAAATGGACAATTCTTGAAATACTGCACTGTTTCTTATAAATGATTTATCCGTACATAATTTATTTTTTCATGTGCTCTCGTATTCTTCAATCAAAATAACTCTTCAGTGACATCTCTTCTCTGATGACAAGTTTACTGGGGTGAGGGTGGGATCAACCTGTCACTCACATGAGATCCACCAATAGCAAACCAATCAATTCACCATGGACAAAATCAAGCCCCGCCTAGGGTTGGGCGATGTCTGCAGTGAAACATCGTGATGGACGATGACATCAGGGGACGAGGCGGGGTTAGGGGTGTACCCGAAGCGTGAAACAAATAACGCGTTATAGAGCCACTAAAAGGTTAGCCACTTGCTAGCGGTAGCCTGTTGCATTACAGTACTGAAAGTTCACTTACCACATACAGTACACAGAGTAAGGAGAAATGTCTGATAGGACGATGGCGAATGATTTGCAGATCCCGAGCACCAATGACAAACGTCTAATCTTGTCAAATGTGTGGTAAGTACTGCCACTCCATAGTATAGAGTCCTTGTGATTGCGAATCTCAAAAGTGAAAGTAAAATGAGAGCGTGCAATCGAAAGCGGTTTCAATAGCGGCTCCCTGATGCCCGCAATTTATATACAGTCGCCTCTACTTACCCAATGATATAATTGCGAGAAAAAGTATTGAAATATATTTTTTTATCCTCCCATCTCGTAGGCTATTTATTCCCTTTAGGGCAGGGTTCCTCAAATCTTGCCCTGGAGGGCCAATGCGCTGCAGAGTTTAGCTCCAACCCTGATCAAACTCACCTACCTGTGATTTTCTAATGATCCTGAAGACGTTGATTAGCATGCTCAGGTGTGTTTGATTAGGGTTAGAGCTAAACTCTGCAGGAAAGTGGATCTCGTGGGCCAGATTTGAGAATCCCTGCTTTAGGGGTTCCGTAGTACACTTCATTTCCTTTCCAAACAGGGGGTGGGAGGAATCACGATGTCAGCTTAACATCGTGATGGCTGTCAGTCATCGGCGATGGCATCGTCTATCGGCCCAACCTAGCCCCGCCCTACATTTTTTCTTGTTCGAGAAGCCATTTCACTTGGATATACATCACAATAGGGAAGAAAAGACTATTGCAAATTACATTTCATGCCGACTTAGATCAACAAATAGTTATTACTGGTTATAAAAACCTTTTTTTTTAATCTCTCTCTAATCATAATAGTACTGGATTGATGATGATGTTTCATAACTAACCATGTTTGGAGGTCTGGCTGTAGTCAGGTCATAAGAAACTGTCTGAGGTAACGCAAGCTTTCTGCCTTCAGATCCAGAGAAACAGGACAGGTCTCGTCTCACTGACAGCGACACCTGCTGGCCACTCTGTGGAACGCTGTCTCTGACCTTCACAAAACACATGCAAGTTATTAAAGGTAAAAAACCACACATAAAAAAAATTCTTAAATATATATATATAAATCACAAAAACGTGTCTTCTGTAAATCATATATTAATAAGATTTTTTTACATCACTTTTTTTATTAAGTATATTACCATGTAATGTGCACGTTTTACCTTTTTTAATTACTGTAATGCAGTCATTTTTATAAAGAAATAACTTAAAATAATTGAAAAAAAAATTATACCACAATTAACAACTAATACCATAATGTATAAATGCATTACAATTTCTAATTATAATAAAATGTTGTAACAAAATAGTTTTTTTGCATTATAGTCATGAGAATTAGAGGTGAAATGTGCATAATTACCATGAAAATAGTCAAATTATTAGCAGGCATTACTCCTTCAGAATCACATGATCCTTCAGAAATCATTCAAATATTTCTGATTATTATCAATGTTGAAAACAGTTTTGCTGCTTCATATTTGAGTGAAAACTGTAATAATAATTTTTCCCCCATGATTCTTTGAATTGAAAGTTCAAAAGAACAGCTTTTATTTGAAATAGAAACATTTTGTTACATTATAAATGTCTTTTTTCACTTTTGAATAAAATAAGAATAAAATTGAATAAAAGTTTTTGTTTTAATCTTGGAAATAGGGAATTTTAACTAATTCATATTGAAATGAATGGAGAATGAAAAAGACCATTTTTGCTATTGATGCTAATGAATAATCATTAAAATAGTTAGTTTATTAAAAGTCCCAATAATGGGAATTAAAATAATTTAGAATGTATCATGAATAAATAATTATTGCTCAATCTGTAATTACCTGCATTAGTGGTCTGAGATTTTAAGTTTTATTTGTGGTCTGAGATCGAGTATTTATTTATTATAAATTGCTTCGCAAATTCTGATTTTATATATATATATATATATATATACAGTATATACATATATAAGTGAAACTATGATATTTTGATAGAGTTCTAATTTTGATTCTCCTTCTCTCTTGCAGTGGTCTGGTGTTCAAGTTTGGCCGAACTGAGGACCTCTGGCAGTAAAGATCCATTTCCTTCAATCAAATCCCACAGTCCCATCAACACACAATTCCTCTGTACTTATTGCTGCTTATTTGCACTCTACATTTCTTTCTCATTTCTTTTCCAACTCCTCGGCTGACTTCAGTTCTTAAATATGTTCCTTCTTCCTTTCTTTGTCTCGTTTCCTGTGTGGCCACAGTGGGCGCCCACAGCGAGAGAAATGCGAATCAAATCCAGACTCTGCAGTCAAAATGGACACATTTAGACCTCATCCTGTGTGTATAATAAAAATGACTTGTGTTCAATGGAATTACAATGACAAGATTGCAGAATAGTGACTTTCAGATTGGAAGTGCACAACCAATATCTTCAGCCTTCAGAAAAGCATTATTGAAATGTTTGTTGAAATCTTTAATAAGCAAAATGAGTATGACTGGCTTTCAGTCCTTCAGCTTCACTGTGTTTCTACTTTCAATAAAAGTCTTTTCTTTTTTTGCATAGGCCCCCGAATTTGTGTCTTTCAGAACACTTTCATTCATAATCTCTTGAAATTGTGCGCAGTGTACAGATTTGAGAACACACTGCTGTATAATTGCGCCACAATCTTCAGTCAGCACTTTATTCTACGTCTTTTGGAAGATTTTGATATATTGTTATTTGGGTTCCCACACTTTTTTTTCCCAGTCATTCAGTTTTTTTTAATTAAAAAAAATATTTTACACGAACTGCACTGAGCAAAAGCAGTTTTTTTTAGAGCCTAGTATAAGTAGAAACGTGTATTCACTGTCAATATTTTGAATTTCTGTGCAACTAGTAAAACCAAACAGCATATTTCTCTTGAGTTTTTCTTGACTATTTTGTGTTCTGGAGCTTTAAGTTCACTCTCGGTGTATGTTTGGGCATGTGGGAGTTGTCTAAAAATGTTAAATGTTTTTAAAAAGCACAATTTCTTATTTCAATGGGTGAATAAGGTGAGACGTGAGTCTGTCAACTAACAAATTAGAGATTCTGTGATTTCTACATGCTAAAAGAATGTAACATTTTAATGTAATCAATGTCTCTCAGCTTAACATCGTGATGGCTGTCAGTCATCGGCGATGGCATCGTCTATCGGCCCAACCTAGCCCCGCCCTACATTTTTTCTTGTTCGAGAAGCCATTTCACTTGGATATACATCACAATAGGGAAGAAAAGACTATTGCAAATTACATTTCATGCCGACTTAGATCAACAAATAGTTATTACTGGTTATAAAAACCTTTTTTTTTAATCTCTCTCTAATCATAATAGTACTGGATTGATGATGATGTTTCATAACTAACCATGTTTGGAGGTCTGGCTGTAGTCAGGTCATAAGAAACTGTCTGAGGTAACGCAAGCTTTCTGCCTTCAGATCCAGAGAAACAGGACAGGTCTCGTCTCACTGACAGCGACACCTGCTGGCCACTCTGTGGAACGCTGTCTCTGACCTTCACAAAACACATGCAAGTTATTAAAGGTAAAAAACCACACATAAAAAAATTTCTTATATATATATATATATAAATCACAAAAACGTGTCTTCTGTAAATCATATATTAATAAGATTTTTTTACATCACTTTTTTTATTAAGTATATTACCATGTAATGTGCACGTTTTACCTTTTTTAATTACTGTAATGCAGTCATTTTTATAAAGAAATAACTTAAAATAATTGAAAAAAAAATTATACCACAATTAACAACTAATACCATAATGTATAAATGCATTACAATTTCTAATTATAATAAAATGTTGTAACAAAATAGTTTTTTTGCATTATAGTCATGAGAATTAGAGGTGAAATGTGCATAATTACCATGAAAATAGTCAAATTATTAGCAGGCATTACTCCTTCAGAATCACATGATCCTTCAGAAATCATTCAAATATTTCTGATTATTATCAATGTTGAAAACAGTTTTGCTGCTTCATATTTGAGTGAAAACTGTAATAATAATTTTTCCCCCATGATTCTTTGAATTGAAAGTTCAAAAGAACAGCTTTTATTTGAAATAGAAACATTTTGTTACATTATAAATGTCTTTTTTTCTTATTTTTTTTCTAAAAAAAAAAATCTTACTGACCCCAAACTTTTGAACAGTGCTGTATGTATATGTTAGTACACTCCACCCACCCGTGCTCTATGGAGCAAAGCCTTATCCAGCAGTCGTTTACGAGCCACTAGCACAGGATTGGCAGGTGAAGGCGTGTGTCGTCGTCTTACATAATTAGCACCACTCATCGCTCCCGTTCCCACTGCTGAACGTGGCCCTTGGACGCCAGCGTGCTGAGTACCCTGTGCCAACGAGGTGACGCTGACAATCCGGATGTCCTCATCTTTTTCCCTACCTTGTGCCACCCTTATACCTGCCAAACCAGTCCTGGAAGACTGTCCTCCTCTCGCATCCGAGGACGATCCGGCCTGCTGGGAGGCAGCGACTCGAGAAGCTTCTCTGAGGAGGTTCCTCAGCTGCTGATCACTCCATCCGGCTGGCCGCGTCTCACAGCTGGTCATGTCTCTGGCTGCTGTTTGCACCGGCGCCGGATGGCTGCTGTTCGCAGCCGCTCCGTCCTGTTTTCGAGCTCTCCCTTGAAACTCCTTAAGGAAAAGGAAGATGGCCTGTGCAGACACCTTGATGTTCTCCAGCTCCAGCACGGCTTTGATCTTACGGAAGCTCAAACCTGCTTCCCGCAGCTCCACCACCTTGCGCTTGGCAGCGTCGTCCAGTCTGCCCATGCTGGAGACCACAGAAAACCACACATAAAAAAATTTCTTATATATATATATATATAAATCACAAAAACGTGTCTTCTGTAAATCATATATTAATAAGATTTTTTTACATCACTTTTTTTATTAAGTATATTACCATGTAATGTGCACGTTTTACCTTTTTTAATTACTGTAATGCAGTCATTTTTATAAAGAAATAACTTAAAATAATTGAAAAAAAAATTATACCACAATTAACAACTAATACCATAATGTATAAATGCATTACAATTTCTAATTATAATAAAATGTTGTAACAAAATAGTTTTTTTGCATTATAGTCATGAGAATTAGAGGTGAAATGTGCATAATTACCATGAAAATAGTCAAATTATTAGCAGGCATTACTCCTTCAGAATCACATGATCCTTCAGAAATCATTCAAATATTTCTGATTATTATCAATGTTGAAAACAGTTTTGCTGCTTCATATTTTAGTGAAAACTGTAATAATAATTTTCCCCCCATGATTCTTTGAATTGAAAGTTCAAAAGAACAGCTTTTATTTGAAATAGAAACATTTTGTTACATTATAAATGTCTTTTTTCTTATTTTTTTTCTAAAAAAAAAAATCTTACTGACCCCAAACTTTTGAACAGTGCTGTATGTATATGTTAGTACACTCCACCCACCCGTGCTCTATGGAGCAAAGCCTTATCCAGCAGTCGTTTACGAGCCACTAGCACAGGATTGGCAGGTGAAGGCGTGTGTCGTCGTCTTACATAATTAGCACCACTCATCGCTCCCGTTCCCACTGCTGAACGTGGCCCTTGGACGCCAGCGTGCTGAGTACCCTGTGCCAACGAGGTGACGCTGACAATCCGGATGTCCTCATCTTTTTCCCTACCTTGTGCCACCCTTATACCTGCCAAACCAGTCCTGGAAGACTGTCCTCCTCTCGCATCCGAGGACGATCCGGCCTGCTGGGAGGCAGCGACTCGAGAAGCTTCTCTGAGGAGGTTCCTCAGCTGCTGATCACTCCATCCGGCTGGCCGCGTCTCACAGCTGGTCATGTCTCTGGCTGCTGTTTGCACCGGCGCCGGATGGCTGCTGTTCGCAGCCGCTCCGTCCTGTTTTCGAGCTCTCCCTTGAAACTCCTTAAGGAAAAGGAAGATGGCCTGTGCAGACACCTTGATGTTCTCCAGCTCCAGCACGGCTTTGATCTTACGGAAGCTCAAACCTGCTTCCCGCAGCTCCACCACCTTGCGCTTGGCAGCGTCGTCCAGTCTGCCCATGCTGGAGACCACAGTACTGACACTGAAAAGCTGGTTGGTTCAAGCAGATCCTGAAATTAAAAACAAAAGTGATGTTACCAGGAAAATTATGGTCAGAATGAAAGACTATGTCCACACAGTGTTATAAATTAAATATAAATACTAATTAAATATAAAGACTATGTCCACACATAGAATTATAAATATATATTTGGCAAATATATATTTTTATAACATACATACATACATACACACATACACACACACACACATATATTGGTAATAAAAATATTAAATAACTGAAAACGTAAAAGATTTTGTTTGAGATTCAGGGTTATTATAGCTAACTAAAACTGAAACTAAAATAAATACCATTCAAAACGTTTTTCTACTTGGAATAAAATAAACGTTAACTGGAATGAAATAACATATAAAAAACGTTTTATTCCAGCTAGTTGCCATTTTTCATTTTAAATTTAGTTTCACATGATGTATCAAAATTAATGAATATAACAAATAAATGATATTACATTATAATAAAAATAATTAATAATATTTTGATAATACTCAATGATATATACACGTGTATAATATTTATATTCATTATTTTAATTTCATTATTTCATTAATAAATAAAGAAGGAATTCCGTTGGATTCAGGGTTATTATAGTTAACTAGAACTAAAACTGAAGCGGACTTAAAAAAACTACAATTTTTGTGACTTGAAATAAAATGTTAGAATAAAACTAGAATAAAATAAAACACGTGTGTGTGTGTGTGTGTGAGTATATACACACACACAAACATATAAACAAAAACCACTAAAAATGACAAAAACAAAAACACTGAATGGATTAAATGATAAATATAATTTATTATAATATGTTGAGATGCATACATACATATATATATACACACACACACACACACACACACACACACACACACACACACAGATAGATTATATTTAGAGTATCCAATAAATATCTTTATTAGTGCATCCAAAATAAGTTTGTTTATATAGGTGTGTGTACTGTGTATATTTATTATGTATATATAAATACACACACATGCATGTAATACCATTTCTATACAATACCAAAATATCATTTTGGGATTGCTTAAAATGATTTAAAAGAAGAAGAAGAATATACTGCATACTGCGTATTATTAGTTTATATTCCCAACAGTAATGCTATCACGTTCCACACTGGTTTTTAGCAGGTCTGCCAGTCTGCCAAACACCAGGAAAACAATCAGCTAACCACCTTAGACTGGTTTAAGCTGGGTTTTTTCGTTTGTTTGTTGTTTTTCTCAAAAGGGTTAGACCAGCTGCCATTTTCCAAAAACTGAAACCAGTTGAAGATTCTCAAGCAGGGGGCAAGTTCAGATTCATGTAGCGACAATGCATAGGGATCTAGTGCACTAAAACACAATGAAAATCAAGCATCTCTCACCTACTGCGACTTTGCTCTTCTGTTATTTATGTTTAACGCGACGATCTGCTCCATTGTAAAGACACATGGCAATGCTCGCATGCATATCCGTAACGTGCGTCTGATAAAGTCAACACAACAACAGCATGTGTCGTTGTTACGCACACATTAGTGCTTCACTTTATGACCATTGCATTAACACACGCCCCGCCTCCGTGCGCCTGTCGCAGGATCAACGTCGTCACGCCTGCGTGCTCACGCAAACGTCAATAAGACGCGACGGTAGTTACGCTCGGCGTTGAGGTTGTCGCGCTTTGCTCTTTCATCATGTAAGTTTGACTCTTTATTTTGATTGATATTTATAATACGCGACCACTTTTGTGTCGTATAGGAGGTTGAGTGCACGCAGAGAGATACTAGCGGCGCTTATTTCTATTAATTATCGACATTTTGCCTAATCGGGTTCAATATCGGCGGGATTAGCATTAGCTTAGCGCGTTGAATGAACCGAGTCAATAAACGTAATTTGTGGAAAACAAATAACGCCGTCAAATGTTATGGATTTAGATTATTTATATGTAATAAAATATCTGTTTTTATACTTTTAAGGTAGGAATTTCCATGCAGTGCATTTGCTAGTCGACACGTTTAATGTCTTTGGTGAAAAATGCGAATGTTTGATATTTACTACTTTATTTAAAACGATTGTTTTATATGTTTGGATTATTCTAAACGATCAACTTTCGATTTATATGAAGTGCACTGCATTGAAACAAAAACAGGTTGTTTGCTATCTATCTATCTATCTATCTATCTATCTATCTATCTTTAAAATCATGTGCCATGGCATTCTTTGTAATAAATTAGCAAATTTTGAACTTAGTAATAATCTTAACCTTTTGCTCTAAAGGTTTGTGCACGAAAAACATGCATTTATCAATACATAAAATACAACTGACAATACAAATAAAATGAATTTTATAAAGTACAAGCAATATTATAACAATTTTATACAGCTTGCGATGAATAAAATGTAAAAAAAAATAGTAATAATGAACATGATCATAATAAAAATCAGCAATTACATCATTAGGAAGTCATTCTGTTTACAGTTATCTCAGATTGTTACGTTTAATGGAGATTTAATTAAAATTGATTTTAACTTTTGGAGAGTTTATAGTGGTTGTTATAATTATTTGCATCATATAAGAGTTTTATATACTCTCTTCACATGTTTCATTCACTGCCCAATTTTATAAGTTTTGATGACTAAAATGTGATAAGGAGAGTCATAAAGATCTTGCTTGGAGAGCTAATTGTGGTTATTGTTAATGATAATTTTATTAATCAATTCGATAATTGACCTTATTTCCCTCAAGCGCATGCTGTGATAAAAGCATGAAAAACACATTAAAGCTGTGCACAGAGTCAAACCACGGTACATTATGAGTGTGACAGCTCACTAGTTTCAGAGACAGGCTATTTTAAATAAATGTGATGCCATTGTTTTTTGGGGGGGTTTTTTCACGCAGGGCTCCATCACCGACCAAGCGCAGCGAGCGTTCAGAAGACAAACCCAAAGAACGAGGGAAGGAGAAGGCTGCTGGGAAAGAGGGAGCGGAGAAGGAGCGAGGCCGAGACAAGATCCGCAAGCGCCGCAGCAACTCCACCGGCAGCAGCAGCAGCAGGTCAGATGGGATGGAGTTCAGGGTTTATGTTTGTTATGAACACTTTCACTTTTTTCTAATCACGTGTATCTCATTCGACCTCAGGTCCAGTTCCAGCTCCAGCAGCAGCTCTGGATCCAGCTCGGGCTCGTCCAGCGGGTCCAGCTCTTCTGGTACCAGTCGCTCTGGTTCGTCCAGTTCCTCCCGTTCGTCTAGTTCATCCGGGTCCTCCGGGTCTCCCAGTCTGAGCCGCCGTCGCCACGACAACCGGCGCCGCTCACGATCAAAGTAGGTTCTGGGCTTTTTGACCCGAACACTTTATTCAAATGATGTTAACTAGAAAACCAGGCATGGCACTTACTGAACTTGTGCTTTTAACCAGGTCCAAATCACAAAAACGGGCTGATGATAAAGAGAGGAAGAGGAGGAGCCCGAGCCCCAAACCCACCAAACTTCATCTGGGAAGACTCACCAGGAACGTAACCAAGGTGTGGTTCAAGATCAGCAGTGGTGTTTCTCAATACGTCGCTTTTATTGAATATGTCACAATATTCTGTTTATTATATTATTATTGTATTATAAATGTTCTCATGATCCAAAATATTTTGCAGTCAATACCAGTGAAATTTCGCAATATCACAGCAAATCGAATACATTATTAAAGATGCTTAATTTGTTAATATAAATGCATGAAAAAAATGTATGCTGCCATTTTATTTAGTATTTCTTAAGGTAACTACATGCATTTTTTCCATCCACTGGTCACATGTTGCTTCCATAACATCCAAATGCATTTAAGTGTTATATTTTATTAAACTTGATCCATTTGCAACTGTAGATTTGAGCTGGAAGTCTCAATTTCAGCAGCTCTTACATGCACTAAACTTTCCAGTGGGGCTGCACGATAACTCACGATTAACACTAAATCTTGAGTAAATCGACCTGTCTAGTGCAATTATGATATCGCAAAGGCTGCGATTGTTTTTATGTGCAGTTTGTCCATGAAGCACGGCTCTTTGATCAGTAGGAAATGCTTCTCCATCTGAAATCACGAGTTTGTAAACTTCTTTTAAAAAAATTTAAGCATTTTTACAGTTTTTCAGGAATCTAATAGTATCATACAGTATTCAATACACATTCAGAAATTAGAAAAAGAAAAAAATTAATCACTATCTAAATGATGCAAAAGGTACAAAAACTGTACACTTAAATAGGACATTTATACATTAATTTTTGATAAAGAGTTATTCAAATATGTTTAGGTATTGATGTACTTATTCATTCTTCAGTACGCATCTCTGCTGTACTGATTTTTGCTGGTCTGCTTCTGCACTTGCCTTAGGAACATATTCAAGAGATCTTTTCGACTTACGGCAAGATCAAGATGATTGACATGCCTCCGGACCGTTTGCACCCGAATCTGTCAAAGGGTTACGCTTATGTGGAATATGAGTCTCCAGAGGACGCCCAGAAAGCCCTGAAACACATGGATGGAGGTATGTGTGGCGGGATAAAAAAAAAAAAAACTACGGAATTGAATCACTTGTTATTGTTAACTAAAACCATAAAAAATTTACTTGAAATAAAATAATAAAAAATAGCTCAAGTATATAAAAACTTTTTATTTTAGCTAGTTGCCAAGGCAACATATCTAATTTTTAATTTAACCTGATGCACTAAAATAACAAACTAATACTGAAATAAAAATTATTGAAAATAAAAAGGTTTCTGTGGGTCTTAAGTTTTAATTTGCCACTCCACAAATTAAGGCCTTAAATGCTCTTAAACTGGAGCATAATGTCTCCAATTCATCATGTCATGGCATTAAATGTTGCATTCACTGCAAAAAAATGAATATCTTCCTCAATACTTTTGTGTTGTTTTCAAATGCAAATATCTAAACATCCTCAAATCAAGACACATTTACTTGAGATGCAAAATTGATGATTTGAAATCTTGTTTTGAGAAATTTAATACAATTAAGTTTATCGGAAGGTACAGTAAAATATTCTATTCTAGCTAAGCAATTTTTTTTTTGTGCATAAAATTAATTAAAGGCGGGGTAAGCGATTTTTCAAAAATTCTTTAGAAAACTGATTCGGGCCGACTAGCAAAACAAACTTGTAGCCAATCAGCAGTAAAGGACATGTCTACTCATGATGTGGAGGAGAGAGAGTTCAGTGCACAGGACGAACATTAGCCGAGCCGAGCGACCGAAAGATAGAGATGGCGGATAAAAAAACAAAAACAGGAAACGTCTGCGGAACAAAAGAAGGCAAGAAGTAGGACCCGTGTAAATATCGGATCCGCTTTCCAGCGCTGGAGAGAACTCAAGGAGCGGAAGGCCTGAGATCGGACGCCGAGGTTACTTTGTTTCTTCTCGATAGGTGAGTAACAAAGTCCCCGACAAAGCGACCGTTGAAAATCATTAGAAAATTGTGTCAATACGTCATGAATAGAAAGCAGCAGCAGTTTTCTGTCGGGGATTTGTCGTGTCATGCCGCGCCACATCCAGTGTAGGCCATAGATATGTATATATATCTATGGTGTGGACAGCATCACTGATTATAATGAGTTCTATAGTATTTTGTCGCGCAGCGATACTCGCGTCCGATGTAGACACGGTGTAACATTGGTTTTGCTTTGTTTCACAGAACTAATCGTTGCCTGGGTTGCGTACGTATGTGTGGGGCGGAGCTATTAAAATAGGGGCGAGACCCTTTTGGGGTAGGGGCGTGTTTGTTTTGGTGATTTCAAATGTCAACACTGGCTACCAGAAATCACTTACCCCACCTTTAAAAAGTAATGAAGATTGGTTGGACTTTGAAGTGTTGCTAATATAACTGATTGTTTTATCATTTGACATTTACGTTTACAAACATATTGATATATTTCCCTTTAATTTTGTCCTTGAATTTTCTTTAATTGGTCTTAAAAAGGTCTTTTAAAATGTCTTCGATGTACCTTCAGAAACCCTGTTAATAGACATTTAAAACAACACATCAAATACAAAACAAAATGACCAAAACTGTAGACATGAAAATTAAATCAGAAAACAAAAAAACGAATTAAACGAAATGCTATAATAAAACACGTTAGTATTCAATGAGTCAGTTCACTAGACGGGATTTCTAACTCTCTTTCTGTCTTCAGGTCAGATCGACGGTCAGGAAATCACAGCCACGGCTGTCCTGGCCCAGAGGATACGACCTGTCCCGAGAAGACCGTCACCTCCGCGCCGAATGCCGCCTCCGCCTCCCATGTGGCGCCGCACACCGCCTCGCATGAGGAGAAGGTTGGCTTTTTTAATGTATTTTAGTCCTTACCGGCATGTTGTGTTTTCTGTGCAGGTCGATAGGAACCAATCTGTCTAATACTCTCGCAGGCCTAAATTTCATTTTAGTCATCACTTCACACCTGTTTGAGAATGTCCGATCTGTCCTTTCACCTGGCATTTCTGTTTATTCGTCCTCGTGCTTCACAGTGGAGACAGACTTGCTGCCTTTTATGTGTCACATCTGGTAATTGGAGTGTGTGTGTCTGTGGTTTATCTTTGCCAGAGCTGACAGTCGTCCTTTTCCCAGGTCTCGGTCTCCACGGCGCCGCTCACCGGTGAGAAGACGTTCCCGCTCCAGGTCTCCGGGTCGCAGGAGACATCGTTCCCGCTCCAGTTCCAACTCGTCCCGTTAGCAAGATGCTCCATTCTCACGAATGGCTTGTCTTTTTGGCCCGCTCATATTTTAGTTGAAAATGACAGATAAATAGTCCAGATGTTTTTCCTTTTCTCTAGTACCTCAGGATTGTATGTGAAGGCCCTTTTTTTTTTCTTTTTGTAATGTGCTTTTGTTTTGAGAAATACAGCTTTTTACTGGTTTATGTTTGTGGGATTTAAGAGCAGACCTTTTATATCCAAATGTTAACATTTGTTCACTGAGTTGCTTTTGTTATTACATTAGCGGTTCCACAAAATTCATCTCTCGAGAACACCTTCTAATCCTGTAAAATCTGATGATCTGTAATAGTTGAAAATGGAAAATCAATAAACCAGTTTAACAACCAAAATCCTCAGTGCTGTCATTTTCTCACTCTTGTGTTGTTTCAAACTTTTGACTTTATTCCTTAAAAACACAAATGGAGATGTTTTCCTAAATGTTCAGTTCTTTTAACCTTGTGAAGCCTGACATATGAAATGATAGCAAGAAAAAAATATATTTATGAACGGAATAGTTTAATGAACCTTTTCTAGAAAACATAAAAGACAATGCTTTTTGTTGTTTATCATATTTGATACACCAGGCTTTTATGTCTCAATACGATACAGGGGAATATGGAGGAATAAAAGAAGTAAAAAAAAATAAATTATTCAGAGGCTCAAAATAAGCAAAAATATGCAATTTGGTACAGATATTATTAGATTTATATATATAATTTAAATTAATTTCAAAATTTAAATAAACTTAATATGTAATTTAACATTTTAAATCAAATCCCGATAGCATGTAATGTAAATCAATCTTGTAACAATATAGCAGATACTTACATAAAATGATTTAAATATCAGTCGTCACCCCCAATATGTCTTGGTAAGATATTTAAACACTAGTTTTATGATCAAAGCTTTGTAGTTTTAAAACAATGCAATGCAGTACAAGAAAAACTGTGAGATGAACAAATGTTCCTCAAAAGCCTGATGGATCATGTTTGATACATTTTACCATATAAAAAAATGATGTATGGATAATCAAGTAAACCTAAGCTGCTTCAGTCCAGTAAATGTTCATCAATAAAAATGTTATTCTTATGTTAATTTTATAAAAATCAGTAAAGATTTTCGCAAAAAGATATGTGAACCATGACCTGAACATGGACATTTTTACAACTATACTAATAGGCCTTTTACTGCTAAAAATGTATCAATCAGAGACAGAAGGCAGTTAGTAGATTGTGTGCAATAGTTTTTTTCTTAGCAGTTTTGCTCATGTTGATCATTTAGCGGCCTTAGAAATTTGCATATCAAATATGACAAAATAGGGTTTATAAGTTCCCCAGTTGTATATGACTTGAGAGACCGTTCATGTCCAGTTTCAGACTAGAAAACTATTATTTATGATAATTCCGATAGCATGTGAAGGCAACATTGCTCACAAGGCATTTATAGCTCAGATGACTGACTCAAAAAATGTCAGCGCCCAAAGATGGCAAAACTTAATGCGTCGGTCATTAAGATGAATGGGTATGCTTAAGTCTATTTAAGATTCTACTTGGGAAATATGTCAGTTTCACGCTGTGATGAGCATTCCAGTGTAATTGGTCACTGGTGAAATCATAAAATACAGTGACATTCGTGCAATAAGTGCTTAAGCTAAACAGGCAAACCTGCTCAGCTGGGCTTCTGTGCCACTTCTTTTTATTCAGTCATTAACTTGGACATTAAAACAGCGTTTTATCAGCAGCTGATCCCCGGGGCTGACAAGCCCAGACGGTCGCGTTTGGAAATGAGCTTCTGTATCTGTGGCCTGCTGGAGATTGACTCGTATGTGTCAAGGGTAATGAGGCATGTTGGGTCTCAAGCTTGTGGCTGTCAGGCACAATAAACAGAAAGCGGTATTGAGAATTGTGCCTGGACAAAAAAAGGGCCTTTTCAGCTGCAGGTTTAATGTGAAGTGATGGATTGTGATCCACATCACATTGATTTTGACACTGAATTTGCTTGTGAACCAGTTTTAAATGTACTAATTACTTCGAGCTGCTTAATTGTCATGCCCAAGAGTACTATCGTTATTGATCAAGAAGGTGATCTAACTAGATTTATCGACGTGTTTTTTTTACTGTGTTTAATTTACCAAAACTGTTTTGCTCATATTTCACCATAAAATCGAAATTTTGAATCCAAAAAGAAGTTTTTAATTTTTTTATTATTGCATTGCATGTTTTACATTATTTTGTGTCCTACTGTAATTTAAGAAAAGTATTACAGTAAAAAAAAAATCCTAATTAATGTATTGGGGTAATATATATATATATATATATATATATATATATATATATATATATATATCAAATTAATGTTAACCTTTGATATGTGTACAATAATGAATGTATGTGATCAAATATGGAGCATATTTGCATTGTTTCCTGTATACAGCCATCTTTTTACAGTTTCTTTAAGATGTTTGGCTGATCAGCAGTGAATCTTTCTCTATGTAGGCCAAGTGAATGTAGCTTTGTATTTTCAGTGAATGTACTGTATGTTATGGAAAATAGCATGCAAGTTATTCTGATGTATATTTTCTTGAACACATTAATCATTAAAAAGTGTATCAACTTTTTCAACAAGCCTACATTAAATGTCTGAAATTAATTTGACATATATATATATATATATATATATATATATATATATATGTCAAATTAATTTCAGACATTTAATGTAGGCTTGTTGAAAAAGTTGATACACTTTTTAATGATTAATGTGTTCAAGAAAATATACATCAGAATAACTTGCATGCTATTTTCCATAACATACAGTACATTCACTGAAAATACAAAGCTACATTCACTTGGCCTACATAGAGAAAGATTCACTGCTGATCAGCCAAACATCTTAAAGAAACTGTAAAAAGATGGCTGTATACAGGAAACAATGCAAATATGCTCCATATTTGATCACATACATTCATTATTGTACACATATCAAAGGTTAACAGCCTCAATGACTTATTCAAATTAAATATGTACAATATTCTCGTTTAAATATGTGCTAAAAAATAGGACGCATAAGCAGACATGATCTTATCAAAAAGATTAAAGGATCAGGAAACATATTTCTTACCCCTTTATTTATTTCTTATTTTTTTGCATGAAGGCTGATCGTGGCTTTAAATGATCTGTCGTATCAATACATTGGCAGTAATGTCCAAATATATAAGCTTTATGATTGTTCAGAGGAGAAGAATCCTGGACATGAAAATATTTATTATTGGTTTTTGACTGGCCCTTCATCTAGTGGCCTCAAAAAGTATATGAACACAAAAGACACACTTAAAAATGTACAAACCTCTTTGCATTATACAAAATACCAAACCATCTAATGCAGTGACATTCATACATGAGTCACGATACTTTTGCCACTCTGGATTCTATAGTTTGTCATTTTTTGCAATTTACTCATTAATGTTGTAAAGTGAATAATCTGTGCAGACAATTTAGGTGAAAAAGGAAAAAATAAATATCAGTTTGGATGATATACAGTACAGACACTAGCAGCACCTTGACATTCTAGTCTATAGTTTTGCTTCATTTGCATTCTGTACATATCTAACATACGATATTATACGCTTTTTGCCTATATTTCACCGACATGACAGATATCTCACAGGTTATACAGGTTAACCTTAAAGTAACCAGTAACAGGGCTCCTATTCCTGATCATTCTACTGATCAAGTAAAAAAACTCAGATTAGGTAATACTTTACATTACAGGGTCCATATTAATGTAATTGATTACAATAGCAAGAACATTCAATATGCGTAATTACAGGCTGCTCCACAAAATAACTGCATTTTAAGAGCATTTTGATTACTGTTACACACACTTTATATAATTACACTTTAAAAACCCCATGAAATAAAATGCAAATGCATTGACATGTTTCATATTAGGGCGGATTGTCTGTTTTTAATTTGTTTTGCATTTAATTTAAATCACAAGACTGGCAAAACCACAATTTGCTACTTGCTATTGCTAGTATGGTGGAAATACTGATTTATCTCAGTGAGTGAATGAGCCGAACAAACAGAATCATCCTAGTTAACTCAGATCTGTTTGTTCAGTTCGTTCGATAAACGATTCTTTTTCGGTGCCACTTTGAGTCTTGCTTGAGTTCAAAACACCAACTTGTTCAGTGTATTCATTCAGTAGGTTCAATTAATGAAATTACATACGATCAGGGTATGAACAGTGCTGGGTAGTAACTGAATACACGTAATATGGATTATGTAATCAGATTCCAAAAATGTTGTACTTGTAATTATGTTGTTTCAAAATGCTCAAAATCAGATTACAGTTACTTTTTATGGATTACGTGATTACAAATGTATTGATTCTCCCTAATTCTATTTTTCTCTTTTAAATGTTACTTTCTAAAAAAAAATTCTGCTGTGTATCATATTGAATACAGTGAGTATTCACAATATAGAATGGCCATGCAAATTAATTTGCAAAAATGTTACTCAAGTTACTAAACACTGCTGATGTATAATTGACAAAAATATTTAAAATGTGGAAGACTTTGACCGTGTCATTGCTGTTTTCATGTTCGTTCATGTGATGCAGGGATTCCCTAACTTTTTGTCAGTCAAACCGCTTCGACCTAAAATATTTACTTGAAGTCCCCCTGAGATTTAAAAGCTAATATTTCAGTAATTTAACAACACATTTGCATGCTCTCTGATGTTGATTATAGGTCATATATTTTATTTCTCAATAATTATTTAACAATAATCCCAATTAAATAAACAAGTTAGGTCAAAACTAATCTAAAAGTAATCCAAAAGTAGTCAGAATACCTTATCTAAAATTAGTAGTCTAGATTACATTACTGACTACACTTTTCATCAAGTAATTTTTAATCAGTAACAGACTACAATTTGTAAGTAATCTACACTGTAAAAAATGATTGTGATTTTAACAGTAAAAGACTGTAAAAATGCTACAGTAAAAACCTGTTAACTGGTTAACAGTAAGTTTCCATAATATATTCGGTGAATACATGTAATTACGTTTAATGTAATTTTACAGTAAAATACTGTTAAAAATATGGTTTTTGGAAGTGAAAAAGAAAAACTCATTGTATAATTTACAGTGAAAAAACGTAAATTGACACTTCATAGTTGATGTTTTTTTGTTGAAATAACATGTTTCTTCTTAGTTTGTTCTTATCAGTTGTGTACATTAGGATTTAATCTTACATCTAATGTTGTTAAATTAATGTTTATTGCATTATTTCAGCATCATGTGCGTCACCATGATGGGGTTTAGTGTTAGTGTGAATGACA